AGTCGACTGGAGGTGAAACATTCAAAACACTGACCAGCTAAAGGGAAACAAAGACGTTTGTTCTATAAACAAGAAAAGCGGGAGCACGCTTTACCGCTGTAGAGTGTGATGTCGCGCTGTGTGATGGACTGCTTCGAGAGTGGGACACGCGCGTCAGAGTGAAACTGTGAAGCGATGCAGTCCAACCCGTGTACAGTCCGAACCAAATATTATTGTATATAGTGTCGTCATATTTACATCGCCACCACGATTCAAGGTTGAAGAAAAACAACATGTAAGTCCTTTGGAATTTCATAACGTATATAATAATGATTATATTTTGCACTTCATGACAAAATACTCACAGTTGATTTTCATTTGTAAAACTTGCCCTTTTGTATATATGTAGAAAATTTTATTGTCTTTCAGGTTCTTTTTAGTTCATATTCCGATGTTGCATAGAACGGAAAATATGCATTTTTTTCTGAAAGTTTGCAATGTTAAAGACTTAGGGCCATTTAAATTCCGGCCGTAGGGAGCTGCAGGCAATTTAAAAGTCCGTACGTTAAAGGTTAAACCAGATCAGCATTGCTTTGTCGAGATCATATATCGATTTTTCTATGGTTTTTCTCTTCTTCATTCCACTTGAATTAGAAGATGAAGCAAAGGAAATTTATTGACTCTTTTGTTTTTTCAAATCACGAACAGTTTGTTCTCCAATACCGTATTGCATTGCTAATTGTTTAACTACACCTCTTTTTCCCAACTGATTGATAATTTCAAGTTTCTGTTGAATACTTAACACAACATGCTTCCTTTTACACCCTGACATTTTGCTAATGCACTTGAAGATCGATACAAAGAGACTAACTGGGGCAGTGTATCTGTCCTTGAAACCTTCCACAAATCCTTGCATTCTTCCACCCCTACCCTAGAACACTGTGTTAGCATAACGGGACCAAAAAATGCAGAGCTCAGTTCACACTAGCACGAAAATAGTGTTACAACTCACCGTGTGAAACAAAAGTGAATGAATATTAAACAACATATAAGCCTCAAAAAAGCCCCGGTAGCCCCAGTTAAGCCACAAACCGGTTTATCCGCCCCCCGATAATCGAGAGTTGAGTGTACTACTATTTCCTTCAGATTTTATGTCACTCAATGTTGTTAGGTAACATAGTTACACAAAGGAAAAAACCAGCAAGTTGGCTCAATTCTAATAATTCTGATTTCTCTTCAGAATGTGCCCTGTTTGAATCTTGGCAAAGACACTGACTGTCCTGAGGTTGTTTCTCTTAACCTTTCTCAGTCCCTCCAGGCAAATGCCAGATTGTGCCTCAAATTAGGCCATGGTCACTTCCTTCCACATCCTTTCCAATACATTATTCAGTTATCATCCTACCATTTGAGATTACATAGCAATTTACTGACATTAAGTAAACCAGCAAATAACAGTGAAACTTTTTAGCCCAGTTTCTAATTAACCAATGAAAAAGTTATTTTAAAGATCAGAGTAAGATAAGTACAGTAAAGTTTTTAAATTTTCATTTCACTTCAGTGGCTCAGACATTGAAGTTGGAAAACGTGACTTGACTGCAACGGACAGAATTCATTTCATTTCCACAAATCCAAACCTCCCTCTGGTAAAACTTAAGTATAATGAAATGCATGAAATCAAAATGGTTTCCTTTTATTATGTGGAACTTTTTATGTAAAGAATATAGCCTATCTAAATGCATTACAAAGACAAAAGAAGTTCCACAGAAGTCTCCGTTACACACAAGTTTTAATAATCCATTTCTCAATTAATTTTAACAAGCATAACATTGAATTACCTGGTACTGCTTAAATTCTGTTCTAATTCTCCACCCTTTATCATAGGCTAGGGTATGCCGATCCTTCTGGAAGAGTGTATTGATACGGGGAATGCCTCTGTCCCAACTGTCTTCCAAATCCTCCAATGTCAGTCTTCTGTTCTGTGCATTGGCTTCCTGTCGTTTGAGAGCATACTCAGCCCATACACGCTGCGAATCTATGAACTCTGATTCCCACGGCTGGATGTACCGGTACAAGTTCGGAATCAGCTGATCTTCATCGTGACTCATGCCAGAACGAAAGTGGGTGATACCAACATCAGTTTGTTTTGACCACCTCAAATCAGACTGAAGGGAAAAAAGTAACACACATAATTAACTTAGCACTACAATTTTATACAGCATCAAAAAGAAATACAGTGGAACTCCCTTTTAGTAGTACTCAATTTAAGGATCTCCCTCATTTAATGTTCAATTTCAATGATCCTAGAGTTAAATCCCCTCCATTTGGGATTTTCTTAAGTTTAGTGTTCACATCTATAGGCCCCAAAAGAAACGTTAAATGGGGGTTTCACCATACCTCCAAGGATCTGAAAATGCAGGTTTACTGACACATCATGCAAGACCAATTCAGCTTTGAAAAGTAAAATAAGGTTGTCCCTGTGCTTAAATAATTAAGGACTAAGCCATGAAGATTTATGGGGGAGTGGAGATTAAAGGTTCTTGAATTCTTAACACTTTGCGGACCGGTGGCATATTATTATGATTTTAGGACACGTTATGTTGAAACACACTATACCTCGCACTGGCGCCAGGCAGATGCATGACTGGTGCGTGATAGACCTCTTGAATGTTTGCTTCATAGTCAGTAACATGACCCCGCTGTTTATGACCCAACTGTTTTCCTTTCCCACTCCAAAAGAAAATCCCTTTGTTCATCTTCCAGATGCATGCACCAGGCAGGAAGTTACTAGTGCAAAATGGATCAAGGTCGGAAGAAGTTTAGGTCCATGTGTTTTCTCGGAGAACAAGAAATATCTGACTTGTTCTCCGATGAGTGTGGTAGTGGCTCTGACAGTGAGTGTGGCAGGAGTGAACAAAAAATTGTGACCACAGACAGTGAACATGTTTCCACCCAGACTGGTGATTCATGAGGAAAATGCTGATTATGGCAAAGTTAAGAGCTCACAACCTCAATTTTTATGAAAATTGTGAAGAGTGAAAATGCCAAGGGGAAGCAGGCCTCTACGCGATGCCATGTTAGCGCAGTACACAACAAAAGGACTATGACTGTCTACATGTGCAAGTTCACAAGGGGAATGTTTCCAGAAATATCACACTCTCAAGCACTTCTATGAGCACTGGTAAGTATTCTCCAAAAATTTTAGTTCATAAAATTAATTAGGAGATTTTATATTAATTTTTTAAGTGAACAGTGCACAAGTTAGGGTAGTAGGTTTAAAGGTTAAAAAAGCCAGTCCCCAGGGTGATTTAAATATTTAAATTGCCGGTCCACGAAGTGTTAACCTCAGCAAGATGGAATAGTCGGCTTCAAGCATCAAGGATAAAGCCCGATGTACCCACTGGATAAATAGCTGTGTGGGTCCCTGAGCTGGTCTGGACACTGCAAAGACAGAAGTCCCTTGACTTTGCTGGGAATGGAACCCAGATTCCTTGATCATCCTGCCCATTGCTATAATAACTGAACTATGCATCTGTGTCAAAACTACTTTACAAATCTGTACAGAATCATTACACTGATCATAATGTACTTCAAATAAGACATATTTTCTAATTCACAGGATATTAAGCCATAACTTTACTAATATTACCTGTGGAATTAACACATGGCCCATTGAAAGCATTCCAAGGCCTCCAAGTTCTTTGGGTGTGTAAAATACAACAGGTGGAAATCTTGAAGGCATTTTTGAGTTCAGACCAATCTTTATCCTCCTCTGAATTTTATTTTCACATTTCACTAATAGGTCCAGTAGTTCTTGAGTGTTCACAACAGCTTCACGGAAGTATGTCATCAACCCTATCAACGCTGTGTTCCACTTGTTAACAATCTGAAATGCAATATGCGTTGGAAATATCACACATATCAGCATTTTTCCATTAATGTACAATTCACCACATTAACTCTCTGCAGCATGAAATTCATTTAATAACATTCAAAAATTAACTTCCTACAGAAAATGCACTGCATCTCCATTACAAAGAAAAGTCAGTTCATACTGTTTACGGAAAATGATCGCTGTTGACCATGAAAACTATGGGAAACAAGAAATACATTGTGTACAATACAGAACTACTGTAACAAAGGGTACATATAGTAACCACTGTGCTAGAAATGATTGCTACTTCTTCATAACAGCCCTGAAACAAATGAATTCAAAAGATGGGTGAAGTATTAGAAAATAATATAAACTGCTATAATTTAAAGTTCTTACTGCAAGCCAAGTGAATTATAATGCAAAACGTAAGGTGTCTTCATGCTTAATTAAGCCGACCATGACAACACATGGATGGAACAACAGTATGCATTCTTAACCCCAGCACTAAATGTAAATAAGTGTAAGTTTCATGTCCTAGCTGCATATCCCCAAGGAAACAGCCCACAGTACCCATGGGATAGGACGCTGGGTGGGTCCCAGAGCTCGTCTGGCTGCTGTGGAGAACAGAAAACTCTTCTGCTCCTGCCAGGAATCAAACCCATTTTCCTCAGACTTCCTACCTCAAGCCTAGTCACTATAATGACTTCTATGAGCTCCTGTCTGAACTATAAACTTAATTTAAAAAATTACAAAATCCTTGGGAACTGGGACATCAGTCAGTATAGCGACTAGGCTAAGGGTTGGACGACCAAACAGTCAGGTTTCGGTTCCTGGTATGGGCAAGAGGTTTCTCTTTTCTCCATAGCATCCAGAACTCTAGGGCCCACTCAGCCTCCTACACAATGGGTACTGGGGACTGTTTCCAGCAACAGGGTAGTGAAGCTTACCAATAACCTTCACCTAGTGCCAAAATTAAGAATGATGGAGCTATACCTCCATACTTCAACACATCTGCATGGTGTGGTGCTTAATTAAGTCCAGAGATAACTTTACCATTTACATACACATAGAACCTGACAGAACACAAATATACAAAGCTGATTCAAAATGGGTTGAGCAGTTTGTACCGCTTCTATCATATAGTTTCAGAATATGGATCAGTAACCCATGGTATGGAGTTACTGCAGCTATATACATAAAACAATTTTTTTTTTACAAAATTATCACACTTAGTATAGGAGACCAGCATGTACTAAACACTTCGGATTCTAATGAGTCCATCATTTGATGCTATATGCTTCAGTCTGAGGTACTGAAAACATACTGCAAACTATACAAACCTATGCTAACTAGAGCCATCTTCAGGGATGAAAAGTTGGTAAAGCAGCACTATTCTTCTTGTCTGGCCAACTTCACGGCACTGAAGACGGTGACAGAACATTCTTCCAAAAACATTCGCAAACTTCTACCAGACTACACAGCGTCACATCCTAGAAGACTGTTTGTTTTCTTGGTAGTCACTCACAGCCTCAACTCTCTCACACCCACACAACACTACGCTACATTGTGGCACACACTAGAAGACTCTGATCCTGATTTTGAAAATTGACTTCAGAATTACAGGTAAGAAATGCACTGTACATAGCATCACATGAATTAGGGGTGTGACATTAGATGGAGTTCAGATTGGATTTATTGCACTCCACTAGTAACTACAACTAATACAGCGCTATCACTGATCTACACACTTTACAGTTCACTGTTACACACTAGGGTTCTCAGTATTCACTGGTCATATCCTGGCAGCAGATTCCAACACAGCAGTTATACCAGTCTCACTGTAACTGCAGCACACATGAAGTCTGCTTTTCACAGCTTAATCCCTTTCTTGCCATCTCTTCTCAATCATCTTCGACTACCATCTCAAGAGACTCCCTCAATTCTATCTCAGCCGGCCTTGGATCCTCACTGTATAGTCTCAGGTTGAATCCAACAAAAAACACAACTCAACAATACCTCACTCTTGCTTGTTTATTCACTGTCGCATGAACTTCCTTACACAGCCGTTGCCTAGCAACGGACGTCTCCACTATACCAGCCTTCAGGTGTCATGTCACAATGAAAATTTAAAACTACAGACATAAATTTCTTTCTGTTCCCCAAGCATAAAGTAAACTGGTTAAATAACAATCATACAGCAGTGAATGCCAATTTCTCATTTCTAAAACTCGTAATGTAATACAAGAAGATTACAAACTAACATTTACCCACCTTTGTGAATGTCGTTGAACCACTAGCCATGAGAATCTGCCGAACTCTGTTGTGGAAACGCTGAAGAGATTCTTCATCAACACGTAAGAAACACTGGGCTGTTCTCTCTTTTGTCACTTCATTCTGGAGATTCCATACACCATCCCGATGTGTGAATTCCTCATGAGTAGTTCGACACTAAAAGCCACAGTATATCATAACCATAAAGGGTCAAAATTTCAATATTTTTCCTTACCACAGTACTTTAAATATCACCAGCAAACCAAAACAGTTTCTGCAGTCAAAATTCATTATGTTAAACATTAACACTTAACAATGCCGTTTTACAGATTCAAGATCGAAAACAAAATCTGCTCTTAAATGCAGGGTGCCAAATTTTACTGTCAGACATACCTTGGGAAGAATACGGCACTCAAAACCGCTCATGTTGAACAATAAATTTGGATTGTCCTTAGAGTAGACACTGACAAAGCTGTTTTCCCATTGAATGGTAGTTGTGGATCGTGGAAGTCTGTTCTTGATGTCCCAGAATACAGCACGGCCACTGAAGAACAAAAAATGGCACAAGAACATGATAATACTGCAGTGAAATGAGTACTTCTTGAGAAATGTTTTTCTAAATATTACTGCTAACTTCATTCAATTAACACTTTCCTTAAATTCCAAATTATCAAAGACATCCACAACTAGTCGTTATTACAAGATTCACATTCATGCCTAGTCTAAATGTTTCTGATGAGGCACTGTGTTCATTTCGTAAAATAATTATTATTTACGGTGAGGCGTTGTTAGTCCCACACCTAACCACCAAGCTGAGCTATTCATAGACTACAAGAAAGCCTATGATTCAGTTAGGAAGGAAGTATTGTACAATATTCTGATGGAGTTTGGGGTACCCATGAAACTAGTTAGGTTGATTAAAATGTGTTTAAATGAAACGTATAGTAAAGTCTGCGTACGTAAACATTATCGTCACTCCTTTTCAACTTTGCTTTAGAATACAGCATTAGAAAGGTCCAGGGAAACCAGGTGGGACTGAAATTAAAAGGGGGCCCATCAGCTGTTGGCCTATGCTAATGATGTGAATCTACTGGGTGATAATGTCGATATCATAAAGAAAAACACACAAACTTTAATTGACGCAAGCAGAGAAGTTGGTCTAGAAGTAAACACTGAGAAAACTAAGTATATGTTGCTGTCTCATCACCAAAATGCAGGGCAAAATCATGACATAAAGATAGGAAACAGATGTTTTGAAAAAGTGGCACAGTTCAGATATTTGGGAACAACAATAACAGATCGAAACCTGATTCAGGAGGAAATTAAGAGGAGATTGAACTCAAGTAATGCTTGCTACCATTCAGTCCAGAACTTTTTGTCTTGTCATCTGCTGTCCAAACACATAAAAATTAGAATATACAAAAATATAATTTTGCCTGTGGTTCTGTATGGGCGTGAAACTTGGTCTCTGACATTAAGGGAGGAACACAGACTGAGGGTGTTGAGGATATTTAGACTGAAGACAAATGAAATGACAGAAAGTTGGAGAAAACTGCACAATGAGGAGCTTCATAACTTGTACTCTTCTCCAAGTATAATTAGAATGATCAAGTCAAGGAGGATGAGGTAGGCAGGACATGTAGCACGAGTGAGGGAAAAGAGGAATGCATATAGGATATTGGTGGGAAAGCCAGAAGGAAAGAGACCACTGGGAAGACCAAGGCGTAGGTGGGTGGATAATATTAAATGGATCTGAGAGAGACAGGATGGGATGGCATTGACTGGATTGATTTTGTTCAGGATAGGGACCAGTGGAGAGCTATTGTGAACACGGTAATGAACCTCCGGGTTCCACAAAATGCTGGGAAGTTCTTGAGTAGCTGCAGAATTGGCGGGTCCTCCAGAAGGGCTCAGCTCCATGCGTAAGTAAGTAAGTAAGTAAGTAATTTCCTACTTGGACAATCGACTCAATTCCTTTAGTCAAGACAATAATTAAATTACTCTTATTAAAGAAAACATGGATCTGTAAGGTAAAGTTGTCCGTGCTTAACAAATTAAGCACTACGCCATGAAGACATACGGGGGAGTGGCTGTATAGATCCACATTCTCTTGACCTTGGCACTAGTTCAAGTTGAGCAGACAGCTTCATGCCCCAGTAGCTTTATCCCTCGGAAAGAGCCCTTGTTATGGTAATGGTAAAGCTATCCTTGTAACAGGCTTTGGAGGCCCATAGGGTTGTGAGATGTCGAGGTTCCCACATTTTCTGGACAATCGACTCACTGATGGTGTGGCTGTCAGCCACATGCACTGGCCACCCTTTACACCCCAAGAAGATTCCTGGTACTCATTTCTGTTAGAGGCTGAGTCAACACCAGAGCCACAGTGCAGCTGGAAGGATTACCTCAATTGAAAAATCCAATGGCCTCATTGGGAATCAAACCCACGACCTTTCAGCTTGTAGCAAAGTGCCTCAACCAACTATGCTACAGAGTGACTCCAGTATGTACACGGTGTGTGCAGGATCTGTTAGGACTCATTTTTTTTTTTTAATTTTGCTTTGCAATGCCATCTGTTGGCGAGTTGTGATGTTAAGATTCTTGAAGTTTCAGCTGTGGCTGTCTATACAAATTTCAAATCCCAAACATCACTGCAGCATGTGTTCTGACCTCGAATGTAACAGTACTGTTCTGACACTCGTCAGAAAATGGCAGTTGAACAGAGAGCCAAAATCAAATTTTGTTTGAGGTTAGGCAAAACAGCCAGAGAAGCATACAAAATGAAGTGTGTATACGGTAGTGACTGTTTGGGTAGCTCAAACATTTTTTGATGGTATGCTGTATTTCGTGACGGCAGGGAGAACACTGAAGAACGAGTCACTGAAGGAAATGTGAAAAAAGTGACCAAAATCTTTGCATCAGACAGATGTGATTCTGCAAGACTCATCGAGGAGCTTTTGGGAATACCAAAAAGTGGTGTGCATCAAATTTTGACCAAGGATTTGGGCAAATGGAAGGTCTGTGCGCAGTTTGTACTGCACGCGCTGTCAGGCGATGAAAAACATTCAAGAGTGGAACACTGCAAAGACATCTTACAGTCGGCCCAAAGTGATACAAAATTTACAAAATCGATTGTTACTGGTGACGAGACATGGTGTTTTCAATATGAGCCACTCACAAAACGGCAGAGTGCAGCATAGTTGAGCCCAAAGAAGCTGAAACCAAAGAAAGTGGGCATGCAAAAGATTCGAGTAAAGATACTGCTAACCATTTTCTTTGATTCCAAAGGAATCATTCACAAAGAATTTCTGCCAGTGAATTTTGATTAATATCTCGGAGTCCTCAATCGTATGTCAGCGAGAATTCTTCGAATTCAACCTGAATATCAAGAGCAAAGTTCCTGGTCGCTCCTCCACGACAATGCCCTACCCCACAAATCGAAGATGGTGCGCGATTATTTGGCCAGAAAAGGGATCACAGTCCTTGATCATCCTCTGTATTCACCAGATTTGGCTCCAGCATATTCTGGTAGTTCCCAAATGTTAAGTTGGCGATGAAAGAAGATCGTCACAACACCATCCAGGACATCCAAAGGAAATCTACCACAGTTTTAAATGTGATTCCACAAAAGGAGTACAGTGACTGTTTTCAAAAACTTTTCAATTGATTCCAGCTATGTATGGATTCAGAAGGAGACTATATTGAATGAAAAGAGTGAAATTTTGAAAATAATTCACAGCTTGTATTTTTAATGAACAGAACCTGGACACACTGTGTATGTAGCTAAATGAATAGCACTGAAATTAACCAAAATACATATTTTCCATTGAAAGCTTAAGGCTGTGAAACATATAAAGTAACAAAATTTTGAAATATACAACCACAGAGAAGTGTGTGTATTTTTGTTAAGAAAGATAAATGCTTCAACAGAATTGATATTTCACATTACTGCACAGAACAAGTTTTGGAAATTTGTGCTGTTCAATTAGAAACTAAAACATCTAACTTAATTATATTATGCCTGTATAGATCTCCAACAGGGGATTTTAACCAGTTTTTAAAGGGATTAGATGCTACTTTAAAGTATTTATACAATCCAAAGTCTGAATTCTTGATTTGTGGTGACATAAATATAGACTATCTCAGTGACAGCAATCGAAAGAAACAAAGGAACTCATTATTAACAACATATAATCTGATACATACTGTAAACTTTGCAACAAGAATTCAAAATGACTCTAGTACATCAATCGATAATATTTTTGTTGATTTTACAAGATTTAGCTCCTCCTCCACATCTCCCATTATAAATGGCCTATCTAATCATGATGCACAGTTTCTTGTGATGGACAATTTGGCTGTAGCAGGTAACTTTATACATCAGAAGCAGAGAATAAGAAAAATAAACAGTGAATCAATAAAGCAATTTCAGCTCCTTCTAAAAAGAGAATCATGGGAACGTGTTTATAAGGAAAATGACACCAATAATAAGTACAACTTGTTTGTCTTCTTTTCTAAATATTTTTGAAGCCAGTTTCCCAATTAAATACAAAAATGTGCGCGAACTAAAGAATGACTGGATCACACAAGGGATAAAAATATCTTGCAAACATAAGAGGACTTTATATGTTAATAGTAGGAATAGTAATAATCCAAATATAAGAGCATTTTATGTTAAGTACTGTAAAATTCTTAGAAATGTTATAAAAGAATCTAAAAGGCAGCATTATAGCAGACTCATAGCAATGTCAGAAAATAAAATGACATGGAACATAATTAAAAGGGAGACTGAAGAGATGCCGTCTCTTCTGGCTAAATCTGAGAAAGCAAAGGACCTAGAAACAGTTGCCAATGACTTCAATAAATTTTTCCTAACAATTGCTGAGAGCTTAAATTTACATCAGATGGGAAATGAAAATGCTTTGTCAATTTTGAAAGTTGCGTTTCCTACAAATTTTCTTAGTATCAAAATCATCCCAACAAATGAAGCTGAGATAAAGAATATAATACACATCATGAAACCAAAAAACTCGTCAGGTTTTGATGAAGTAACAAGTAAAGTTCTGAAAGCTTGTTCTGATTTAATTAGTTGCCCTTTAGCTCACATTTGTAATCACTCATTATACACAGGCATTTTCCCAGACTGCCAAAAAATTTCAATAGTAAAGCCACTATTCAAAAGAGGAGATAAGTATAGTATGACGAACTATAGGCCGATTTCATTATTATCTACTTTCTCTAAGGTACTTGAGAAAGTCATGTATAGTAGGATAAATCAGCATATGCATTGTAACAACATATTGGTCCCAGAGCAATACGGCTTTAGGAAAGGTATATCCACTGAAGATGCAGTTTTCAAGCTAACAGACAGTGTCTTAAAATCCATTAACCAAAAAAAACATATGGGAGGAATTTTCTGTGATTTAGCGAAGGCTTTTGATTGTGTAAATCATGAAATTTTGTTAAGTAAACTACAATTCTATGGCATTCGAGGAACAGTGTTAAAATGGTTCAAATCGTATCTAACAAATAGAAAACAAAAGGTTGAAATAAAATCGCCTAAACACAGTCAGAATTTCTTCTCAGACTGGAGAACAATAAAACATGGAGTTCCCCAAGGATCCATCCTGGGACCCTTGCTTTTCATAACATATATAAATGACCTTCCACCAATAATAAATATCTCATCAGAACCCATAATATTTGCTGATGATACAAGTGTCATAATTTCTAGCAAAATTTTGATGATTTCTGTGCAATTTCTAACAGAGCACTCTCTCACATGAATAAATGGTTCAATGCAAACAGACTTGTCCTAAATCTTGATAAAACGAAAGTAATGAAATTTACAACAAAAAATACTCCTCAGTATGTTTTAAATATTGGATTAATGGAAAATACATAGAAGAGTCAGTAAATATGAAATTCCTCGGCTTGCAAATTGATAGCCACCTAAGTTCGTCAGACCATATGGATAAGTTGATTCCTAAGCTAAGTGGAGCGTGCTATGCGGTTAGGTGTATGTCTCATGTCAGCAATACTGAGACTCTCAAATCAATTTATTTTGCCTATTTTCACTCTGTAATTAAGTATGGTATAATCTTTTGGGGCAACTCATCTAACAGTAAAAAGATATTCATCTTACAAAAGAAAATTGTTAGACTAATGGCTGGTGTTAAACCAAGAGACTCGTGTAAAAATCTTTTTAAGAGACTAGAAATCCTAACCCTACCATATGAATACATATTCTCCCTAATGACCTTCATTGCAAAAAACCAAGAATTCTTTCCAACTAATTCTACTATTCACACTGTCAA